CCCCTTTAACCACCCCCCCCTCCGTCTTCAGAATTTGTGCCAGTGCAGTGTCTCCACCGGGCACGATGGAAACTTTGGCACACACAGATCCATTGCGTTAATTCCTCGCCCCTTGTTTTGGTTTGCTGTTTGGAATGAAAGAAGCCTCTTGTTTTCGCAAACCCCTTTGCATTTCCAATGTGGCGCTTTGCGATTTTTGTGTGATCTAGCTGCTCCTTGAAAGGGCTGAAGGATGGCAATCGATTGTGGAGTGGGTGGGGGACACACACAACACAGACACAACTTGCTTCCCTTCACACCTCTGGCTTTGTGGTTTAAAATTGTGTTAAAGGAAATGGATGAGTTGGGGCAGCCTTATCTGGCCCTGAGTGGGTTTGTTTTCATTCCCTGGGTGTTAATGGGCTCGTGCAACAGTTGCTGGTAAATGGCCCAGTGCAAAGCAAAGAGGAAAACCAAACCGATTTCGAGAATTCCTTCCATTCAATCATTTTGGCCAAATCCCAAATACAAGCAAAACAAACCCCCCCACCTCAGGAACAGGCATCGAAATTCATTTGATGGTGATTGGTTTGCTGGGGAAAGGCAGTTTCTGGTCACCTGTTGCAGAAGATGGATAGTCGACCATCCAGGCATAATTGGATGATGAAGATGACCCCTTGGGCCAACTTCTCAATCCGAGAGCAGAAATAAATACTTGGGTGGCGGTGGGGTGTGTTTCACTACAAGAGGACTTTTTCATTTCACTGTTTCTGAGGCCAAGAGTTTGCCCTGGATCAGTAATGAACTTCTCCATGGCGGCTCCTCGCCTGTTTTCCCAAAGTTTCTCTAGGTTGGTGCTGAAATGCATGTTGTTAAAAATCCAAACCCAAACACAACAAATTGCTGCTTTGTATTAAACATGTCGTTGCAGCTTACTACTGAAAGAAAAAAACAACAACCCAGTGTTATAACTGGTAGCAAAAACTTAATGAGACTTTTCCTCAATATTGTTGCCCATCTGGATTAACAAGATTAGAATCTGGTTTTAAGAACATTTTCTAAGCAAAAGAAAGACAGGGTGATAGAAAAGTAAGGTGTGGCATTTGCTTTTAACAGAAGGAGCTAGTAGATGTGGTTGAATCTCAGTGCTTCCAGTGTCGTAAGCACTAAGTACTTGGAGCAATGGTACCACTGCCATGGAGTTGATTCTGACTCATAGCGACCCCCTGGCAGCAATGGCACTTCTACGAGGAAGCCCATTTTGGTTTTCCTAACATCCTGTGCACAGGGTCATTTCTTTTGCCTCCCTTTGTTGGGGCAGAAGACAGGCAGGCAAGTGAAGGTAATGAATTAAGTTGTTAAGGGTTTCTTATGTAGAAGGAACAGCATGAAAGTGCTTGAAAGAAGCTAGCTTGATTTTGGTATAACTTTTGTAGTAATTTTTCTTTTTTAAACTTTTTAGAAGTCATTAGCTATTGGGCCACTTTCCACCAGAGCCTAGAATTGACTGAAGCAAAGAAGCTGCTCCCCACTATGGGCAGAAGTTTTTCAGGTTAGGCAGGAGCTAAGGCAGTTTAGCTAATTTTCTCTCCTGTTTGAAGGCCTAACAAATAATAGTTTGGATTGATGCATGGGCTGCATTAAGAAAATTGGTGCTCAAGTTTCTTTTAAAACCAACAAATTAACTTAATTGTGTATTTATGAGACAGCCATGACATTTTGTTTTGTTTTTCCTTCGGCCATTCATAGTCTACCTTGTGTGTTTTTCCCTTTTCTCTTTATAAAATTACTGACACCTTGCTCCCTGAACTCACTAGTGTTGCAGGTAGCAGGTGCTAGTCAGAGACTGGTTGGATAAGTGACAACTCTGACACTGCCATCAAATGATGCCGACTCACAGTGACCCTCTAGGACAGGGTAGAACTGCCCCTGCGGGTTTCCAAGACTAGCTCCTTACTGGAGCAGAAAGCCTGGTCTTTCTCCCAAGTGTCAGCTAGTAGGTGAGAATTTAGAACAGAAGAGAATTTGATAATTCTTTTTTTTTTTCTTTTTGTTAGCATTTGATAATTCTTTTGTGGATATCATAACGCCTCGATATTTTGATTTTAGTTGGCTGAAAATTGGCCTTGCTGTTGTCCATTGGACCAGGCAGTGCTGTAGAGAGCAGGGTTTACTGAGTTTTGAACTGCTGTCAGGCACTTTCTTCCCTGGAAGTGGTGTCAGCTTCTTGGTGGTTTGCTTTTTGAAACACATTACTTCTCAGTGTTATGGTCAATGAAGGGCAGTGTGTGTTCTGAACACTTAGAAAGCACCTCCTGGCCTAGCAGGAGTTCATGAGGTTAAGAACTAGTTTCATTGGTTTTCCTGTCTGTACTTTGCAGGAGGAAGGCTGTTGGGTGCACACAACACGTGTACGTGCTTGTGCTTTGGAAAGATAAAAGTTCTAGGACATGTATTTAAACCATTGAATTGTATGGTGCGTGAATTAGATGCCAATAAAACTGTTCTTTTTAAAAAAAAGTTAGAGCACTAGTGTCAGATACCCCGAGAACACGTGAAGCAATGTGGTTGGGGAGTTGAATCGGAGTGCTCTCAAAGAACATCCTGTGTTGGTAATTTAGAACAGTGTGATCAATTTTTGTAAACTAGAGTGTAGCCTGACCTGTTGCTTGAGGGGATTCCAGTTCCTGGCTACTGCCACACGCTTCAGAATAGAGCTCCGCTCCTCAGAGGTGTCAATGGCTGTACTTTGATAGTGGGGGCGGAGTCACTACTTACAGACGTTGGGCTGCTAACTTCAAGGTCAGCAGTTCCAAACCACCAGTCCACTCCTTGGGAGAAAGACAAGGCTTTCTATTCCTATAGATTTGCAGTCTCGGAAACCCACAGTAGCAGTTTTACCCTTTACCCTGACCTATAGGGTTACTGTGAGTCGGAATTGACTCGATGGCTGGCAGTGAGTTTTTTGGCTTGGTGCTTTTTTTTTTAGTTTATTGGGGGCTCTTACATCTCTTATCACAATCCATACACTCCTCCTAGCATCAAGCGCATTTGCACGTGTGCCGCCATCATCATTTTCAAAGCATTCTCTTCCTGCTTGAGTGCCTGATATATCAGCTCCCCATTTCTTCCCCCTCCCTCCCCTGCCAGCCCTCCCTCACGAACTCTTGATAAGTTATACATTATTTTTCCCATATCTTACATTGTCCTCCATTGCCCCTCACTCACTTTTCCATTATTCGTCCCCCTGGGAGGGGGTTCTAGATTGATCCTGGTGATTGGTTCCCCCTTTCTCTCTGCACCCTCCCGGAATACTCCTGGTATCTCTATTCTCCTTGTTGGCCCTGAGGGGTTTATCTATCCTGGATTCCCTGTGTTGCGGGCTCTTATCTGTAGCAGTGTGCATGTTCTGGTCTAATCCGATTTGCAAGATAGAATTGAGGTCATGATAGTGGGGGGAAGGAAGAACTAGAGGAAAGTTGTGTTTCACCCATGCTATACTGCACCCTGACTGGCTCGTCTCTTCCCTGTGACCCCTCTGTGAGGGGATGTCCAGTTGTCTACAGATGGGCATTGGGTCTCCACTCCATGCCCCTCCCCCCCTATTCACATTAGGTATGGTTTTATTCTGGGTCTTAGATACCTGATCCCATTGACATCTCATGATCACACAGGTTGGTGTGCTTCCATGTGGGCTTATTTACTTCCCTGCTAAATGGGCCACTTGTTTATCTTAAAGCCTTTAAGACCCCAGATGCTATATCTTTTGATAGCTAGGCACCATCAGCTTTCTTCACCACATATGCTTATGCACCAATTTTGTCTTTAGCAATTGTGTCGGGAAGGTGAGCATCACAAGAGTGCTGGATTGTTAGAACAAAGTGTTCTTGTGTTAAGGGAGTACTTGAGTTAAGGCCCAATGTCCATCTGCAACCTTAATTCTTAGCATATAGATATGAGTACATAGTTCTGTTCCCTTTTAATTATATATATATTTACATATGTACATACCTGTATTTAGGCCTCTA